GCTCAAAAGAGAATTTATCCGAATATCAAATAACACGATATGAATACTAAATTAAGACAAGGCTCCAGAGCATATGTTTTAAGGATCGTGAATAAGTAATTCTTGGGTCTATTAAATACGTTGTTTTATTTTTTAAATTACTACTATTATACTATATATATATATATATATATATATATATATATATATATATATATATATATAGTTCACACTCTCTTACGATATATTTATCTTGTTCAAATTTTTAATCGTTAATAAAATACATTTTAAAGCACTCAAGTGAGCTGAAATTATATGCACTCAGGAACATTGAAAATAGCGACCCAAGAAGGAAGCTAAGTACAACCGCGAAACTTTGCAAATAAGTACAGAGTAATCTGGTATGCAAATGATCCAAGTTTTGTGCCAATATGCATGCTCATACACGTCGATTTGACGCTACAATCAGGAAGAGGGTGCTATATAAGCCAGCGCAAATTCGAAGATTCATAAACGTGACGATTACCCGCCGATTGTAGGAAGACTTTGGTAAGCGAAACATGCCAGGTAAACGTGCTAGAAGACATTTCTCACAGTTAAGCGAGTTTGAGAGAGGCCAGATCATCGGAAAGAAAACTGCAGGCTGGTTGACGCGCCGTGTTGCTGGCCAGGTGGATCGTTCGGAGTGTGCCGTTAGAAATTGTTGGGAGCAGTGGACACGAGAAGGTACCCACGCGTGGAAAATGGGTTTGGAGCGACCAGGAAGACCACGAGGAGAGAGGATCGAAGGATCGTGCGGCAAGCACTTGTGGACCACACAGTGACTCGTTCAACGATACGAGCAGACGTAGGCGTAGCAACTGTTCCACAAACAATTTCCAGACACCTTGCAGAAGCAAATCTTAAATCCAAGCACCCTTTCCGTGCACTCCCTTTAACACCGGAACATCGGCAATTGCGTCTACAGTGGTGCCAAGCCAGATCAATGTGGAATGTCACAGATTGGCAAACGGTTGTGTTTAGTGATGAATCCCGGTTTGCTTTGGGGACAGATGATAACCGTGTACGGGTGTGGAGGCGCCCTGGTGAGCGGTACAATCCCCCCACACTGTTCTACGTCACACTGCCCGTACAGCTGGTGTAATGGTCTGGGGGGCATAGCCTATGATTGCCGGTCCACTTTAATTGTGGTGCGTGGAACCTTAACGGGCCAACGTTATGTTGATGATATTCTTCGACCCCATGTAGGACCTTTCCTAAATGGTCTCCCAGGGGCAATTTTCCAGCAAGATAATGCTCGTCCTCATACAGCAACAGTTGCTCGAGACTTCCTACGTCATTTTCAGACTCTTTCATGGCCGACCCGCTCCCCCGATTTGTCCCCCGTAGAGCACGTGTGGGTTCAGCTAAAACGGCAGATGTCATCGTGTCACTCTGTACATGATTTAGAGCTTGCTGTTCAAGATTTGTGGGCCCATCTGCCTCAGGACAACATAAGGTGTCTCATCAACTAAATGCCGGACCGTGTGGCGGCATGTATTGCAGCTGCAGGTGGTCCAACGCGCTATTGAAGTTGACCAGTATTTGTGTCGTTGCACACCCTGTATTCGTTTAATTGTCTGGTTTTTGAGATCAAGTGAATCTCTCATCTGTGTCATTATGTGCATTAAATTTCATTTCAATCCGAAGCTTTCTTCTTGGGTCGCTATTTTCAATGTTCCTGAGTGTATTCACGCTTGTTTTGAATGACAATACGGTAATTTAATTATAATTAATAAAAATTAATTGATTAAAACTAATTATTTAAGGAACTGCAAATACAGCCACGTTGGCATCATTTTTGGCGACTTAGCGACCCTTTTTTCGACTTGTGACAAAACTTGAAACGGTTTTTTTCTCACATTTTAAAACGCTCATTTGAGCTGAAATTTTCTATACACGTTTGTTTTGGGTAACAATATAGTAATTTAATTATAATTTTAATTAAAGTTAAATGACTGAAACTAATTATTTAAAGAATTACAGAAACAGCCACATTAGTTTCATTTTTAGCGACTTGTGTCAAAACTTTAAAAGATTTTTTTCCCCACGTTTTAAAGCACTCTGTTGAACTGAAATTTTATATACACGATTGTTTTGAAATACAATACAATACTTCAACGAAAATTGATAAAAATTAATTCACACTTAATGTTGTGATTCTGCCTTATGTATATACATATTTATATTAATTGTAACTATTTAATAAAAAGTAATTAAATAAAACTTTTCTTTGTTGATCTAAGCAGGAATTGACTTAAAAAAATTTTTTTATATTTTTTGTTACTGTTGATAACAAGCAAAAATTAAAGTAATAGAACGTAACAATGAAGTTTGAACAGAATTCTAAGCAACATGTTATATGTATAGGATACGAAAAATTAAATACGAATACATTTGAAATATTTACCTTGTCATGTTTGTCACAGTGCAAATATTAAGCATTAGAATATAGTACTGGATACTCCGTCAGCCGATGCGGTGAACGGAGTTTAGCATTAGCACTTCGGCTGTATTGCGTATAATCACCTGTAATCTATATGTACCATTGATAAGACCAAAAGCATACATGACAAAAAGACGCATGACAAGGAATTGGGAACATGATTTGGAAACGCACGATAATCCAAATTCTTTTTAGGATATTAATCTATTTAGCAGTTTATGCTCGTATATTAAAGAAATTTAATTAATTTTGTAATTGTCTGAAGAATTTGTATTCTTATCTGCTATGAATTAGAAAGCTTTTTCAATTCCTACCATTAGTTCACAATCGCCTCTTTTATATATATATATATATATATATATATATATATATATATATATATATATATATATATATATATATATATATATATATATATATATAGTCTAATTCTCTACAAACAAGAGATAAACATTCATCATTCACATTCGAAAAAAAAACACATAGACAGTAAAAAGATCATACAATGAAGGATACATAAGCAGCCGAGATTAAAAATTATAAAATGGATGCTGCAGTATTATAAACATTGCTGACTTAGGACAGCTAATATATAAAATAATTTATATAAAAGTGGGGTTGTACATGTTTTTTGGCCAGCCAACCTTCCCCCTTTATGTAAATAATACAGAGCAAAAAACCTTTTGAAAGTAATGGATAGGAATATCTAAATCCATTACAAGATAGAGGTAACTTACCTAAAAATTGCACTTGAAAATGCAGAGCCCGCACTGAATCTGAGTGCAATAAATAAGTTATTATCAGATTCTGGACCCTAATGCAGATTCAAAGCATGTGAATGGCTGAAATATAGCACTTAACAAAAGTATAAAAAGAATAGATACAAAAATTAATAAGAGTTACAAATTACCATATTTTTAGTGACACTAGAGTATATATGAATTAAATAATAATAATAAGTAATTTTAACTAATATTAGAATATAGAGGTAACTATAACTATGAAATATATAAATTTATAGCATTAAAATATTATTAATCCTTACAATTTTGAATAGCTTTATTCATATAACTATTAATAAAATTAATTGGGTATTTCTGATTTAAGCAATATTTAGTAAAATATTTATAGTTATTTATAATTTCTGATTTGTTTGACACTAGAAATTTATTGCGTTGTATATAATTAATAACAATATTTCTGAATATAGAAATATGTACATTACTCTCCCAATGCGGAACTTTTATAATATTGAAATTAAAATCTTCTCTTTTATCAAAAATATTAGAAACTATTACATTATCTATTAATTTGATATGTATGTCAAGAAAATTTGCTTCATTGTTGTTACTATTTGTCTGTATTAAATTAAGATATTGTGTATAAAAATAAGTATTAGGTATAAAATTGACTTGCTTGCCAAAAAGAATTATGTCATCTGTATAACGATAAATATAATATTTAGAATTATTAATGTAACTGCTTTCAAAATAATGTAAGTATAATTTGGCGATACAGTTGCTCGCAGGGCCACCTTGTGGCAAACCTTTAATCTGCAGATAATAGTTACCCTTATGAAATATATAGTTCTCTTTAGGTACAAACCTAAGTAGTGAACTAAATCTGTCATAATTAACATTATTAAATAAATTATCTCTTTATGCAAATTTACTAATATATTAATCATATCATCAATATTAAAAGAGTTAAAAAGATCTTCAAAATCTAAACTATAGACTGAATAAATCTTTTTATCTTTCATTTGTTCAATAAGTGATTTACTATTTTTAAGTATGGCTGTGGATTTAAGATTATTTAGTGTATTATGTAATATTTCATGCAGAATTTTGCCTGTTTTGCTGATATATGAATTAAACCCATTTGTAACTGTCCTAAATTTGACTGGGTCTTTATGAAATTTGGGAGTAAGAAATATATGTGGAAAATTAAAACTATTATTAATATGAATTCTTAATTGTTTATGAAAAGCTAAAATTCGATTATTTATTTCTCTATCAGAAAATGATGACTTAATAAAAGCTGTGTTATTATCAAAATATCAGTTGATCATTAAATTATAATAGTATTTACATATGAAGGCAAAATTACCTGACACTTTATTAACATAAACTATAATGAAATTATTTTGTAATTTTTTTTAATCTGATTTTTAATATTATTAAAAAAGATTTTATTATCTGTACCAAAATTATATTTATTAAGCTGCTGTGTAATATTACCTTTGAATTCTGTGAATGCCTCTATAGGCACACTACACTTAATAGCTATTTTGTATATAAATTGCTCAGTATCATATATTTATATATATATATAAATTGTTCAAATTTTCAATCTTTAATAAAGTACTTTCAATTCATCCATTCAAATTCGAATACATTTTTTTCAAACTTTTAGTGGATGACACTTGATGTTAATACAGTTTTTTCAAACATTAATTCATTTTTAAAAGAATAATTAGTAACAAACAAAAATAATAGTCCAATATCATATATAAAAAGGAAAATCGCTCGTTGTGTCCCTCTAACGCAATGGGTAGCGCGTTGGACTTCTAATCCAAGCCTCGTGGGTTCGAATCCCACCTAATTTCTGAGAATGTGATTCCTTTTTACTATTCTATTTTATTTGAATAATTAAACCTAGTTAATGAATATGTAGTAACAAAAACACAAAAATAACAGTCCAACACCATACAATAGAACGTTCGGATAATCGAAAACCGAATGTGATCCATGCAGTATATGAAACCGGACACTATACGAATATTGAAGATCATTTCATGCGGGAAACGTGCTTGAAGAAAAGCAAAATAGGTGCAAAATGTCGCAATATTTTACCTTTATTGTGGAAAATAATCCTTTATTTTTCGCTGTACTATTGCACACCTTCGTTTTGACCTTTGAAATCAGCCGAACCACCTTTCCCGTTAAGTTCCAGGACTTTTTTGCACCAACAGAGGGCCCTATATCGGGTTCCCTTTGCTCCTTCTTTGTGAGAACCGCAAGTAAAGCGCACGATCAAGAACAACATCGTTTGCCTCCCTTATGGTTTTCCTTCTCTTCGAGCCATCTTCTGAGTCAAGTTTTGACACAAAATTTAAAATGGTTTCTCGGTTTTTTGTTATGTCAAAAGTTGTTGACTTTCCAACAATATCAAACTGTACTAGAAACGCTCCACTTTCTTCCTTCGCGAGACGGTTGAATATTTCAGCTTTTGTCACTGTGTTCAAGACGTTGCACTTGCGTTTTGAATTCGAAGTCATAGTAGTTCACAATTCAATAAAAGAACACTTATACACACACACACACCCTTCACTTTGGGACATACTGACCTAATACTCCGCGCAGATGTTAACCAAATCACACAACTGTAATTCCCCAAATATCCCTGACCTTGGGTTTTCCCGTCACTTTTGGCCTCACGAGAAACAACTGTTCAGCATTGTACTGATCGAAAACGTATTCATATACATTACTTGTAGTTGACAAAAAAAAACTGGTTTGGATATTTGACGCTCCGGATAATAAACATTCAGATAAATGACGTTCTACTGTATATGGAAAGAAAAATGGAAAATCGCTTTCTATTTTGCCACTTAATATTGTGATCCTGTTATGTGTACATGCGTATTCATATTAATTGTAATTTTATTTAATAAAAATTAACTAAAATAAAATTTTTCTTTGTTGACCTAAGTAATCTTGTTGTTAGTCATAACGAATCTGATTAGATTGTTTGGAAAGTTACTTCATTTTTTCCGACAGAGGATTCAATTGTACTTTTTCTGCCCGGGTCTCTCTTTTAAGCCTCATAAATAGCAAGGCTTTCTTGCGAAAAAGTGCAACTGAGATTCTACGCAGTGATTTTTGGTTAGTGCCCTTTCAAACATGGAGAGTGAAAAGCAGCATTTTTGACATTTACTTTTACGCTATCGAAAAAGTAAGAATTCTTCTCAAGCAAGAAAAAAATTAGCCGATGTCTATATAGAGAAGATGTATGGACAGTACGCGTGCCAATACTGGTTTTCAAAATTTCGATTTGGCAATTTTGATGCCGAAGATGCACCACGTTCTGAAAGGACAGTTAAAGCCGATAGACACAATACAGAAATTAATTCATGCGAACCGAATAACAACTTCAGAGTTCGCTGAGAGGTTAAATTTATCAAATTCAATTGTTCACATGTCCACTTGAAAGGACAGGTTTAGCCTCAAAACTCGACATATGGATTCTCATGCTCTCACGGAAAGAAAATTGTGTCATCACGTTGATGTCTATGATTTGCTTCTCAAACATCAAGAAATGTGTTCATTTTTAAAGCGCATCCTTACTGGGATTGAGAGATGGGTTATCTATAATAGGAATCTTCAACCTTAGGTTCGATCAAGGCATTTCAGTGGCCCTTCATTTGAATGTAAGACAATTTCAAGGAAAATTGCCTTGTTTGCTTTTTGTTGTAAAAAACGTTATTTTTCTGTTATTTGTAATATTTAGAACATTTTATTGATATGCTTGATATCCATTTTGGATAAAATTTTCTTAAATGACGAAATTTTCAAAAATTTAGTTTTATCTTAAAAATTTTTAAATATAAAAAAATCAGGATATGCGTAAAATCTAAGAAATTTTTAGAAGAAAAGATGATCACATTTATCTTTAACATGAAAGTATTTTCATTCGACTTCCATTTAATGTTTTTGAAGGTGATTTATTTTCAAATTTGTAGCACCTTCTCCTCCCTTAAAATTTTTGTAGTAGTTTTATAAAACAAATCACCCTTTTTTATTTAAATTTCCTGACCACATTATTTTTTTGATAGTCGGGTGGCCTGTGGATCATTGTAAATTAATTGGTGTGGCCCGCGGATTATTGTGGATTTATAGATATGACCCTCGAGTGTTAAAAGTTGAAGACAGCTAATTTATAACAATATCAAACGTAAGAGATCATGAAGTAAGAAAGATGAACCGGGCTCAAGGCATTTCGAAAGCCAATATTGTTTTTAAAAAAAGGGATGCTATCTCTTTTATGGAATTTCAAAGAAGTCATTATTATTTTTTTTAGTTTTTACCGGACAACACAATGATTCTGATGAAGTGCACTCTCATCATCTAGGCAATCTGAATGATATACTTAAAAAGAAAAGGCCAGAATTAATCTACAGAAAATGTGTAGTGTTCTACTAAGATAATGCAAGACTTCGTACAAATCTGGTAGCTTTCCAAAAGCTTTTACAGCTTGAAAGGGATACACTGCCACATCCACCATATTTTCCAGATCTGACACCTTCTGATTATGTTTTGTTCCTGACTCTACAATTTTTTTAAGACGGTTAAACCTTTACTTCAAATGAGGAGGTCAAAAGTCCCCTGGATCAGTTTTTTGAAAGTAAAGAACAAAACTTTTATGAGCGTGGAATAATGCTATTGCCAGAAAGGTGTCAAAAGGGGATGGACCAGAATGGACAGTATATAATTTAATAAATTATTTATTCACTGTATGAACTTATTGTTGTCTTTCATATTTCACACTAGATAAATAAAGTAAAAAAAATCAAACTTACTTTCCGAACAACACAATACTACAGGGTGTGGCAAAAAACTCGAACAAATTTCTTGCCTCCCTAGAATAGTTAACGAATTTCCTTTTAATTGGTGTTTTCATGTTTCTTTATCTACCACTTCAATAATAAAATATTTTTTAACATGTTTCTTAGTTTTTACTTTGATTTCTGTGTTTTTGATAATGTCGAGCAAAAGGTCTGCTATTTTAGAGTTGTTTCGGCAAGGAAAACGACAGCTCGTTTGCTGAATGTACCACGGGAAACAGTGTCTGTTGCAATCTGTCGTTTCAAAGAGCTTGGCAATGATGGTCGACGTCCAGGAAGTGGTCGAAAATGCACTGTAAATACTTCAAGGAATTGTAATACCATCGAAAAGCGAGTCCAGAGAAATCCGAGGGTGACATGGGAAAAAGCGACAGATAGGTGAGGCGAATAGCAAAAACGGAGTTTGCATTGAAGCCTTACAAGTTGCGAGAGAAAAGTTCAGCTTCTCACTGAAAAAAATAAACTCTTACGGCTCCGAAGACCTCTTTTCAAAAAAAGACCAAATATTGTTTTACAATATTGTTTATTGTTTAATATTGTTCATTGTGAATAATACATAATTTCCCATATGCAATAAAACACAAAATCATAACCATGAAATAAGTAGAAAGCTTTTTTTAATTTTAGGCTTTTACATTTTTCAAAAACAAAGAGTAGAAATTGATAGATTATATTTTCAGTAATTTACTTAGATATCGTTATTCAAATTAAAATAAAATTCATCCGTCTTTGCTGTTTTTACTTCTTTTGAAAATTCACTCCTTACTTTACCCTTCATAATTTTGCGTTTTGCATATACCACTCCTTGATATATCTTGAAAGTAGTACGAAACGGGGATCTTCCAAGTTCAGAAACTTCTTAAATTTCTTGCCCCTAACAATTCAATCGATGGAAGTTTTCAATATTCTGGTTTTTTTTTTTTTTTTTCACATTCGCCTTCAGCATTAGAAAACAATTTCAATATTTTTCCTCTCCTACGTGTATTCACAATGTTCTCTTCCTCCATATCCATGTTGAATTGTTCAGGGTGTCCAATAAATCACATATAACATCCTCAATCTCCCAGAATTTTTTTCCATCTATTTCAGAACAAAGCTCGCTAATATTGTGACGGTTCTTTCCGTGATCTTCTCACTAACAATCCTCTTGGGGACTTTTTTGGTCCTTAAAAATTATTTTATGAGAACGCTTCCTCCGAAGAAGCGAACGTGAACATGCAAATTAAGACTATTATATGAAGTTCAGGCTTTAAAGTTAGGGAGAGAGATAGGGTAGGCTGGTAGTGGAGCAGTGATTAATCAAATTTACGCAGATATTTAGTAATTTATAATTGTAATAATTAAGATGACTATCTGTGACTTAAGCTTCAATCTAGATTAGATAGCTAAGAAGTAAGAGTAATTGATTTGAAGTAAGTATTAAGAGTAAGTAGCCTTCTCAGACCTCGTATACCTCGATAATTGTCTTCATATTGCTTAAATGGGTGCATCTCTTAGTTTTAATTGATTGAACTTGTGTTGCGGTTTGTGTCGTAAATAAACTACGGGAATATAGCTAGTCTTACTTCCCTTTCTTCCACACCTTTACACGCGGAGGCGAGAGAACCTTACAATATTGCTTATTTCTTCTGAAAATTTCCTTTGAATTGACATTTTAGAGGTAAATTTTTGAATTTTTTTTGTTTGAATAATCTACTAATAATATGAAATACAAAAATTACTACTAAACTAATTATTTTTATTTATTTATCACCAAAGTTTGTAGTCAGCTATTACAAATAGAACTGACCACGTCTCAATTATTTGTTCTAATTGTTATTTTGACTTGTAGGCTCCACCAGGCGGTACTCTGTGCCCCGCATAAAATAAACTTTACAGTCGCTATACAGTTTATAGCTATAGTGGTTAGTGACGCTGACTACTGTGCCGTAGGGCTTCGGTTTGAATAGCGGAGAAGGCATGGATGTTTGTAAATAAATCGTGCCTTCA